AATGCATACAAGAAATCATGCATAAATGTGCCTAAATGTATTTCAGCTGCATCAAAACGAAACTTTTGGACCAAATAAAGAGTTCTGAGCATACAACTCCAGTTAAGACGGCTAGAAACCACAAATACACCCAGCAATCTGGGTATGGTGATGGACTGTCACCTGAACCTTCAGAGGCACATAAAGACTGTAACAAACTTGGCCTTCATTGACTTAATGAACATGTCCAGGGTTACAGGACTAATATATTAGCATGACCTTAGAAAAAAAACAAATTCATGCATTTATCTTTAGAATTGATTACTGAAACAGTGTCTTCACAGGTCCTTCTAAAAAGTCAGACAGCTGCAGATGGTCCAACGTGCTGCTGCCTGAATCCTCACTAACACTAAGAAAATGGATTTTTCATATTATGTACAGCTCTTTGAGTTGTCTTGCTACTTTACTTTGCAATATGCTTGGCCCATCTGCCTGTCCAGATGACGTCATATATGCCTGCCTCTCCACTTGGCGTCAATGGAGACAGAATTTCCACACTGGTCGTTTAGGAAAATTAGTAGCTACTCTGACAGATCCACGTGGAAAAACATGGCGAGCAAGCAACAGCTCCTACCTGAGAGGGTTCACAAATATAAACATGTAGAGACATCCTGTGATTGAGCCCATAAACTTCACCACTATTGGCAGACTGTAGAAAAACAGAAAAAAAATTATTGTCGCTCTTGAACAACAAGAAGTGACTTTGAAAAAGTGGTTGCAGAGGCTGTGACAGGCAGCTCATTTTTTGTGCGGATTGTGTTTGTGTCAAGCATAATGAGCCATTAAGACATCTATTAGAAGGTGTCCAGCAACAGGTGGGTGCGAGGCAGTGCTTGGATCCTGTTTCCCCCCTAAACTCAGAGAAAACTTCAGTCACTCTGAAACTTTCACAGACATGAGTTTAAAATGAAGGAAGAGTTCAAGTGGGAAACCTTTAGCGGCCTTAATAGAGAGACTTGTTAAAACCCTATTATACCTTGACATGTTTTACACAAATAACTACCCTATGCCTACCAGATATAAAATATTATCAGAGAACTTTTCTTGTCTGATTGGCCTGAGATTGACTAATATCAGTGGCTCTTTGAAGTTAATGAAGAGCAGTGAAATGTGTCAGAGATTTCTTTCCCGTAGGATTTATTGTTATGTTCCAGCAGGTTTGGTTTCACCCTGGAAGCGAAATTCTTGGTTTGAATAATAAGAGGCTGCGTATCCTTGGGGGAGATCCAAGACCAAAACCTGTATAATGGGACTCTCCTGTCAGATTCTTCACCAATGAAACAAAGATAAATGTGCTTGAACAAGTGTGTTTGTTTTGATTCTTAGTAGCTTTTACATGGCGGCAGTTCATATTTCTGTTGGAAGACTTTGAAGCAAGTATGTGGAAAAAATCCAATTGAAGAGGAGATGGCATTATTTTTGGGATAAACAAAATTTTCTTTGTGGTTTATACAAGGGAAATAAGTGTATCCTAAGTCCCAAATGTTATTTTAAAAAAGTCTGTAATCTTTGTGTAATAGTTCAGACATTTACTTTTGTTATGACATGTTAAATAAACATGTCATTTTTGTCTACATGCTTTTTAAAATATAATTATATTTAGTGTAGTTGCAATGAAGTGTCATTGGAAATGCTGTAAAAGCTCATTAGTGCCAAAAGGAAGCTGAAAGAGACAGTAGCTTCAATATTGACAGTGGCTATCAGTTAGAAAGGGTTATTGTCATGGCATCTTGTCTGTTCGTATTTTTCAGGCACCCAAAAGGCTGTTGTTTAAAAAAAAAAAAAAAAAGATAGAGAAAAAAGAGACTGTCAGCCAGCCTAATAAGCTGTCTTTATTTATTGACTTTTGTCAACACAACAGGAAAGTCTTCATAGCAAGTGTTGAACAAAAATACCCAATGTCTCCTTCATGTCTAGGTTTATTGTAATAGGTTGCTGACATACAGTCTGCATCTGAATTATACTCGGACAGAATTCATATTGGCAAGGGACACTGGAAATTTTTATTAAGTTTAGTTTTAATCCTAAATTGTATCATAACAACCTACTCTTACCCACCAAAGGGATCCCAAATAATGCAATCTATTAACCAGAGTTCCAGTTTTCCTCCTTTTTTCAGCAGCTAAAACACAGAATATTGTAAATCAAAATACAGACTCCTGTATTATTTCAGCTTGAGTTAAAATTATGAAGAATAAAAGAATCTTATTTTTGGTTTTCTGTCATGTCTTAGGCAAGAGTGTGTCTCTATGGAGGAAAACCCTCAGGTGTTCTTTTGCTGCTGCGAGGGTAACTACTGCAACGAGCGATTCACTCACCTTCCTGACTTGATTGGCAGCAGGACCCGAGGTGAGTGGTGATAAATGCGACCTACCTACGCACTGTGAATGCTTTTCCCTTTTAGATTATACTGCAGCATCATTTTTGAGCCATAATCCTTAATTAGCATGCACTTTAGCAGCTGCAACACGGCACAGCTGTTACACTATTTAGTTCCTCTGCCAAAACTGTCGTTTTCTTTATATAATTTCTAATTTTTAAAGCTTAAAGTTGAACATAGATCATCTGTTGCTTTGAAAGCTTTTATACTAAGATGTCATTTGTTGAAATCTTTGCACAAACTGATGATGAAAAGTAGATTCTAGATATGATATACCAGTTTAATGATCTGTCTTTTTAAGAAAAACTTCATTCTTGATCTAATTCTTTGCACAAAGACTTGTTTCGTCTTTGCTCACTTCTACCTGTATCTAAATTAGTCATATAGTGCTGTGGTTTAGACACTAATGTGAAACGTCTGCAATCTAAGCTGTTCTGCATTTTTGTTTTTATTTAGTATTGAATAACTTGGCAAGTATGTGACTTGAATATGTAGTAGCAGTAGTCTGCCTTCCTATAATAAGTCATAGTCACTTTAGTAAATGGTTACATAGATGCTTGAAAACTCAGAAGACTTTAGGTGCTGTATAGTCCTCCCCATTTCATCAGTATTACATGGTCAACGATACTAGTAATTATGCTCCATTTAAATCACTTACATTTGATCTGTTTTGTGGTAGATTTTTGCTCACATCAGGAGTTTTAGCTGGCCAGTTTGATTTTGTTATAATAAAGCGCTGGACCCATCGAGATTCAGTCAAACAGAGGCAGAGTTTTCCTCTGGTTCAAAAGCTATGCTTACATTTGTACTCTATTTTGATCTAAGCTATTGATAACTTGTCACTATTATTATTTTTCTCCCATCAGTTTGGATTATGTTAGTAGAATCTTTATCTGTTTTTTATTTTCTCACCAGTCATCAGTTTCTACAGGGGGGGTTTTCAGAGCTGCTTTACAACAAAATGTGATGTCGCCGGCCTGCTGACACATGCCCTGTTTGTCCTTTACAGTGAAAATCCGGCCTCCGCCCCGTGTGCCATCAATGCTGAATGTTCTAGTGTACTCTCTGCTGCCGCTGTGTGTGCTGTCCTTGGCCCTCGTTTTGGCGCTGTGGATGTACCGCCACCGCAAACCTCCTTATGGACACGTGGATCTGAGCGAGGTGAGCTAGGCCATAATCTTACCAGACTTTTTATTACAACTTATATCAGGAGGTGATTTAATGTGTCAAAGTCATTATATATATGTTTTTTTCATGGAATAATTTGGCTGTAATCCTGCTTGTTTATTTAATCAGGATCCTGGACCAGTCCCTCCTTCTCCTTTGGTGGGTCTGAAACCTCTGCAGCTTCTGGAAATCAAAGCTAGGGGGCGCTTTGGCTGTGTTTGGAAAGCTCAGTTAATGAGCGAATATGTTGCTGTAAAAATCTTCCCTGTTCAGGTAAATTAGAATAGGAATATTCTTACTTTTCCTACTCCTGTATTGGATATTAAACATAAGAGAAAGAAAAAGTTAAATTCTTTTAAAGAAAAACAAAATCTCTTTGCATTAATATTTTGTCTTCTGCAGGATAAGCAATCATGGCAGAATGAGCGGGACATCTTCTTGACGCCTGGGATGAGACACGAAAACATCTTGCGCTACATTGCGGCAGAAAAGCACGGAACCAACCTGGAGACGGAACTGTGGCTTATCTCAGAGTTTCATGAAAGAGTGAGAATATATCTCTCTACCTGTTTACAGATTTAGTTTTATTGTTCCTCCTAGAATCAAAGCATCTAATATTTTTGTATGTATGCTTAGGTAATATGTTGAGAAGTCTGCTGCCTTGACAGTTGTTTAATTCAAAATGATCAACACTCTCAACTTAAATAGTCTGTCAAAAAAGTTTGTTGGCAAAGAAGCTGGTTGTTCATCGTGCTCTAAGCACATTAAATAGATGATTTTTCATTAGCTATAATCCTTAATTAAAGATATTGCTGGTTGACTTTAACTCACTTTGTGTCATAAATCAGTAGTTTCACACAGATAAAATTTTAAATGCTTCTTAACTCTTGTAGATGCACCTACTGTACTTGCTTATTTCCACATTTCCCTTTCAGGCTCCATTTTTAGCAGCTTTGCAGCAGCAGTCTGTTAGAAAGAGATTAAGAAACGCTGGTGTATGTGTTTATGCTTGTCCTTTAACCTTTTGTCTGTTTTGTGTGTGAGCAGGGCTCATTGACGGACCACCTGAAGGGCAACACTGTGACCTGGACTGAGCTGTGTCACATAGCAGAAACCATGGCCCGTGGATTGGCTTACCTCCATGAAGACATTCCCAGCTACAAGGGGGAGGGGCCTAAACCTACTATTGCGCACCGGTAAGCAAAGAAAAAATGGATTTAGAAAAGATATGCACTGAAAGCAGTTATGTGGTTTTGGTGCACATTCTCAGTTTCTTTCTCTTTAATTATCAACCCTCCGCAAATGCACTGTTTTGGCCCCTAGTGTTAGTGCATGTTACATTCAGTTAAACAGAGTCTAATCTTTTCAATCATTATAGCTTTGGTACACTTCTGATTTAACCCAACTATTATTAGTCATCAGTGCAGTGCATGCATTGTGGACCTCCTGGGTGTTTCTGACTAAAAGAAGTATTTTTAATCCAATTGGTTGTTAGGTTATGGTACTGATCTGAATCCTGCAACAAAACCTGTCAGTGCAGCACAGGCAAAGGACTGTATGGTAACCTTGAATGTAAATACCACCATTGTACAGCGTCACTGTATTTACATAAAAAGCTTTTAAAACCATAAAGCAATGTTATAAGACGGCTTCTAAATGAGAATTACAGCATTAGTACGGCTAAGACGGTTTTGACATAAAGTATAAAACTGAATGTGATTTGGTCCTGTGCTGGATGATGGTTTATTGAAACGGTTTATTGTGAATGAATTCAAATACAAGTGATGAATCACGCTTTAGTGTTTTTTGTTTTCTTCTTGAGAAAAACATTGTGTTGAAATTGCTTTCCAACCATTGTTTTTTTTCTCTATGTTTGTCATGAGGCAGTTTTTATGTTTTTGATTTTCCACATCAGTTTTTCTTAGCTGAGACTTTTGATGAGTGAGGAGAAACTGTAAATATTTGCCTGAGAAAATGCAGTAGCTTTCTGGCACATTTTTAGCCACACTCGCCATCATCTTCATTTTAATCATTTTTATTACCATTTGTCGGCTCAGCTTGTGTAACATGTGAATCTTGAAATATATACCTTCTGAGTATATTCAGTATATTTGGTTACAACGTAAAAATACTTCAGCATTAAAAAAAAAGACCCTTGCCATAACATCTATTTTCAAACAGTTGAATTTGTCTTTCTTGTTAGAAAGGCAAATTCAGGTGTTTGAAAAAATGTGTATAGGATGTGAGGTGCTGACCAGCAGTGCGCAGTCAGAAAACTGTAGTCACACCAGCACTTTCTCTAAAAATCGACCATAAATGGTTGGAACTGTGTGTAGTAAACTAAGTAGTTCTTGCGCAATGACTGTTGACTATATGGTTTCACTAGCGTATAGCCCCATTTACTCTAACTTTTTGAAACCGTGCCTAGATCGGTCCGAGCACGGTAACCGAGATAACTGTTGAGTGTAAATGGCACGCACATCTGAACCGGATTGTGCCAGATACAACCGAACCAGACACAACTTAATCTAGTTCATCAGTAGGGCTCCGTGCGGTTCAGTTCTGACAGTTTTCAGATAATTAAAAGCGCAGTCAGCTTCTGTAATCATGAAATTTCAGATATTCTTTTTTGTTAAGTATATAATTCCACATGTGTTAATCCATAGTTTTAGTCCCTTCAGTTTAAAACAAAAATTTTTATAGTCATGAAAATAAAGAAAATTATTTGAATGACAAGGTGTGTGTCCAAACTCTCTATCTCTCACTGTTTGGCCTCTTCTCTAAATCTCGATGGTTCTCATTTGATTTATCTAAGATCAGACGTTCCCATTTCCAGGTTGTGCTTGAATGATTTGTTTTTCACTGAAAGCATCTGCATTAAATTATGTGACTGCTGTGACCAAACACCTCCATTAAAAAAAGGCGTTTTAATGACTGCTGTGAAATAAATCCTCCAGGGACTTCAAGAGTAAGAATGTGCTTCTGCGGGATGATTTAACTGCGGTCATCGGGGACTTTGGGCTTGCTGTGCGATTTGAACCAGGAAAGCCTCCTGGAGACACTCATGGCCAGGTAGGAAGAACTTCAGGTTAGGTTTTCACTCTCATCATGACTCTAGGATATGTATTGCATTTTTACATGTTCCATAAAGAATTATTGGAACATAAGACTTTTAGTTGTATTGTCAATAATTTGTACTATATAAAGCGAGGATCTCTTTAGTCCCTTCAATGTTATTATGGAACTCTTTTCACTGATGGATTAAAAAAAGTTTTTTTGTTCTGTCTAGGCAGTAGACAGACTCTTTCTGTTCTGATTAAGAAATCAAGGGTTATTTTTCTAACAGAATAGCATCATTTGTATTTACACACATGTGGGCTCTATTCACAGTTTGATACATCTGCTTTTCTTTAGGGAAATTAGAATGAAGGTAGGGGAGGTTAAAGCAAATTCTCGCCCATGTTTCAGATATTATTTTTTTTACAATCTATGTAAAAACAAAAAGTACAGGTGCATCTCAAAAAATTAGACTGTAATTGAAAAGTTTAGTTGTTTCATTAACTCCATTAATTAAATTAGATAAATTCCACTTAGCTGTTAATTATGATGGTTTCCAAGCTACAGCCATTGAAAATATGGCAGTTATGTTAGATAACTGAAGTAGTACATCAAACCAATAAAAACATATCATTACAGAAATGTGGGTTTAATGAAAAGTATTTTTAATCCCTACTTATAGGTTATTTTGAAAATGTGCTTAATCTAGCAAATTAATACAATTTGCTAAAATGTACTTGTTTGCAATACTTTATAATACATTATAATGTATAATACATTATAAACTCTGATTGGAAATCTGAATTTTTAGAGAGGATTACTTTAGTAGTGTGCTTTACTTGCATCTGCTCTTCATCTAAGATGTTGGGGAGAAACATTGCTTTTTTTTTTAAATTTTATGCAGAATGGGAATATTTAAGAGTTTTACTCCAAATAGTTGACTATAATATTTTAACATTTTATTTTTACAATGCTAACTTTATTCAGACTGTTCTTTATGCATCTGAAATCCCATCCTGGATGTGAATTTTGTTTGAATCCAATATGAATTTCAGGTCGGTACGAGGCGTTACATGGCTCCAGAGGTGCTGGAGGGAGCCATTAACTTTCAGCGAGACTCCTTCCTTAGGATTGATATGTACGCCATGGGCTTGGTGCTATGGGAGCTGGTGTCCCGCTGCTCGGAGACAGACGGTAAGCCAAACAGTGCAAGAATGTTACTTCACCTACGGGTGAAAGGTCACTGTGCTGCAGGCGATCTTAGTAAACATGGGCTTTGTTTTTTTTTTTCATCTGTAGAGCTGTCCAATTGTAGCGTCAGCTTTATTCACATTTAATATTTCAGATATTGGAATCTGAAACTCTTTCCTGTTCTACTGCCTCTCTGTTTCCTGTTCCTGTTCTCCTGCTTTCTGCTCTACTGGGCTATTGTTTCTCCTCAGGTATAGTTGGTGAGTACATGCTGCCGTTTGAGGATGAAATAGGTCAGCATCCTTCCCTGGAGGACCTGCAGGATGTGGTCGTGCACAAGAAGATGCGTCCAGCCATCAAGGACTGCTGGCTCAAACATCCGGTGAGTAAACATGGAACAATGACCATTACATTTCCATCTCAAATACCAGAATATACTACACCCATATGTCCAATAAATCTAGTCAGATTTAATGCTTCTTGGAACCTGTTATAACCCAATTTCTTTAGCTTTGTCTAAAGAAGGATATAAAGAAGTTTCCAAATTCTAAGATGTGAGAGTGAATGCTGTCCCCATCTGGAAATATTGGCCCATTTTTTGAAGATGTGCTTTAATCTGGACAGCCTGTTAATGATTTTTATTTTGAAGTCAGAAATGGCCTGGTCTTCAAAGACTTTTTGTGTTAATAGAGTTGGCAATTAAAGGAACAGTTTGCTCACAATTTTTTGCTACACTGAAGAACTTACCACCACCATAAAAACTTGATGACGGCATTTTGGCTTCACTGCAAAAAAGACAGCAGGTCATTTTAAAGAGGATTGGAGATTTATTTATGTCTGACCATGAGTAGAAAAGTTTTTTTCTCTTTCCTTGTAATCATGTTGTTATTGTGTTTATGTAAGGCTTTGATACATGTTTAAGCATTCAGTAATGTGTGTTGGTAGTCTGTATTTTGCATCTTCATTAGTCAGTTGGTACCTGTCACTGAGATTATTTTCCTTATTTTGTACTAACTGAAAGCCACGAATAACCCTGCACTTTTAGGCCGGTGCTTTCACTGTTAAACACTTATTTAAACGTTAAAAAGAGCGTTGTTTTGATGGAGTATGATGTCAGCCTGCCTTCATGCAGACGGTCTGGAGTGCATGAAATGCACACATTTCTTTTCTAAACTGGACTCTTCTTCAATAAATAAATTTTAGTTATTGTACAGTCTGAAAGTTTCACTTTCTGAAATGGGTAATAAAAGGTGATCCTTTTTCATGATATTGAAATGTTTCTTTTACTAAATTTAAACCATTTACCTGGCAGTGTTTGGTTACTCAATTCTTGAAGAATTTAAGCACTGCAAAAAAGCACAAAAGCTGCCTTTTATCCCAATAATAAATAAATAAAAATGTTGTTGTCCAATTAGTGCTAAGCCAAAAAAACAAAACAAATATATATATGTATATATTTTAAGTCCCACCACTTATTTTTATAGATAAGAAATTGTAAATAAGACATTTTTGACCTCTCCATTTTTATTTTCAGGGTTTGAGTCAGATGTGCGAGACCATCGAGGAGTGCTGGGACCATGACGCTGAGGCACGACTGTCAGCTGGCTGCGTGGAGGAGCGCATCAGCCAGATCGCCAGGACGATAGGCAGCACTACCTCAGACAACCCAGCCTCCATTGTGACATCTCTCATCAACGAGGACCTACCTCCCAAAGAGTCAAGTACCTAAATGGGTGACACCTTGCCTCACCTAAGCTCCTGACTTATGTTCATTCTCAAACCCAAGCTCAGCGGATCTATGTTAACGTTAACAACTCTACCCCACATCCCCCTCCCTGTCACCATAGCAACCTACATGCAGCTGCTCGTTACCTACATACTGATATTTTGTTTCTGTTTGATGTTCTTCTGTGTTTTACTAACACATCCATCTGCTGTAGTTGAATTAGTAATAAGCTGTGTGATGGGCACATCTCATACCACCTCTGTGTCAAACCTTAAACCTAATCATTGCTTCCATGTATTTTTTTAAAAGTTTAGTGTGTCCTGTTGTTTTTTGTTTTTTTTGTTTTTTTAAATCACCCCACGAGCTGCTGTGTATGTTGTAGTTCCCATCTGTGGCCAAATTCTGGAAAAACCTTCGCTCCAAACCTCAGACAACACGCTGCACACCTCGGAAGAAACATTTTGAGACTGTTAAAACAAAAAAAATATTTTCATCTTCCTCAGGGGTTGAAGCTTCTCGATTTATAAATTTGGAGAGTGCTCCCTTCCTTTCGACCTGTGAATTCTTCAGAACGAGATGTAGAGAGAAAATAAAAAAAACAAAAAAGGAACGGAGCACTTTTTGTTTTTTCTTAGGGAGGAAGCAAAATCTGAACTGAGCAGTCATATGGGACTTTGTGAAGATTTCGGACAGATGTCTTGTCCTTGGAACTACCTCTCAGGTATCCAGTAGGCTTCTTTGGAACATTTCTATAAGTTGAGAGCCAAGCTATCCAGCTAGCTAACATGGACATAATCCTGGATGATATTGTTTTTATTTTGTTTTTAATTTTTTTGAATTTCAGAGTTACTTTTCTGCCAGTGCCAGGGGCATTGACTGATGCTGTCTGGAGTTGCAATGTTACACATTCTTAATTTTATCCGTATGCATTTGTGTGCGAGTGTGAGAATGTAATGATTTATGATTGAGTGTGTGTTTTTAAAGTAAAAACGACTAACAGGTAATTTAGGGTTTATCCTTGTGATTGTCATGCATTTTTTATTTTATTTTTTTCAATTCATAGGTGTTTGGTTACTAGACTCAGTCGGACACGGGTCCACAGATACCTCAGTTACTGTATGTCATGCAAGGAGAGCTCAAATTGGTTGCCTTTGTCTCAAATGCAATGCCATAGTTGTACCATAATATGAACACCATACATTGAATGTCCGTTATGCTGCTGTGACTATTCCAGGATACTCAAGGATTTGTAGATGTACATGTATTGTTTGTTAATGTAACACTAACTATCCATGATATTATGTAAGGCTAATATCCTGTTTTTGTGGGTATTTTTTGTGCGTTTTTTCTTTTGACTGGGTAAGCCTTCAGCTGCTTACTCTTCCAGACTGACCTCAGATATTCTGACAAGTACCTCAGGCTTTTTCTACATGTATATCAAGTTGTGTTAATGTATTTTATTATGTTTGAGTAGTTGAAAGAATTTATTGCAGGTGGGATGGCCTCTGTCTTTTTTTTTTTTTTTTTTTGATAGAACCTGACCACTTTTCATGATGTAAATGCCCTACAAATGTAAAAAGAGAGGCAGATTCCTGTAAATATGCTTGTACACATAAGACGCCTGATACGTAAATATTTTGTTTTACATCTATAAATGGGGGGCATTTTAATAAATTTGAGTATCTTTGAAAATCACTTTGAAAAGTGAAACTCGTTTAGATTAAACGCACAAATGGAAGTTTTTAAGTCTTCTTTTTTCTGTTTGTTTTTATGATTTTTACTTAACCCAATAAAAAAAAAAGACAAAATTCAGTTTCTCAATTAAGTGACATAAAACCAAAAAATGTATCTTATACACTCTACAGTTGGAACATTGTACAGTATGAGCACTCAAAACTTGATCAGTGCTCATTTTGCACTGGTAATACCTGGTGAATAACTGGCTCAATTCCTACTGTTTTGAGTCTTGCATCTTCCAAGTATTTTTATTCCACTCAGTATTCTATTGTGCTTTAATACAGCACTCAAATCAGACAGAAACGTCTTCAGCTGGCTTTCCCTTCTCATGAAGGATGGTCATTAAGCTCTATTAATATGTTAACCAAAACATTGCAATAACATTTCTCCATTAGAAATCAGTTTTAATGTCTTTATGTAGTATTTTTTTCCCCAATAAAACCACTATTGTCAAACTCCATGTGCAGTACTGGTCTTAAAAACGATTCTTGCTAAACTGGCTGTGCAGTAAAGAAAAGGTTGTGTGGAAGGAAAAAGTGTTTATATTTTTTGGCCTTTATATACTGAAATGACTTTTCATTGGTTTTGTGTAGTACTTAAACTTTGAAGAACTGAATTTTGTTTTCATTAGCTATAAGCCAAAAATGATCAAAACAAACAGAAATGGACTAAATTATATCGCGTGTAATGAATTTATGTTAAATTTGACTTTCTGAATTGAATTACTGGAAGACATAAACTTTTTGATTTTATTCAAATTTTTTAAGATGCACCTCTAAACAATCAGGGCATTTGCAGTGTTCATTTCAGATACAGAAAGGGGTTTATTGACACCATATCTACCAATCCATTTAGATCTCTAGCCCTGTTTTTTTCACTCTTTTAAGAGAAGTGTTACTGATATCAGTGGTTTATGATATTGAATCATCTTATTTAGAGGTTGTGAGGGTGGCACTGGCATTCAAAAATAAAAATGTGTATATCATCGCGGAAAAGAAAAACGAACAAATATTTTTATGGTTTTGGTGTGGCGGCTTCTGTGATTGGCCACTTGTTTGAACAGTATTGCCTCAATATTAACCTGCTGATGTGACGTTCTGACCTGTTTATAGTGATAGTTTAGCCACGTTGGACAACACACAGGCTCATCTGTTGTGCTTTGATTAGTGGTGTGGAAAGATAGTGATTTCTTTTTTTAACAGTGGTCTGTAGCTCTAACTGATGTGCAGTTTTGGTAAAAAGGACTTCTGGGGGAAAATAATTCAATGCTGAACATTTTTTTTTTATTTCGGGGGGAAACCATCATTGTGTTTGTAGCCACATGACTGACTAATGCAGCACCGTTGGGGTTTACGCCGACAGCGCCCATGTGCACGGTCCAAGGGTCCAGCAATATTTACTATACAGCAATAGTCATTACACTCAGCTGTGACAACAGTTATCCTCTGCAGCCCAACACAGAACAACTCCTCACACCTGGACCATCCTCTGACAGCCTCTTGTTGATAAGGGGGGGTAGGAAGAAAAAACAGACCCAGAGGATTAAAACTTTGGTGCGCAAGCTGATTGTGGCCCAGGTGCTTTTTTTTTTCCGAATCGTGCCAGGCAAACAACATGTCATGTGGTAAAATCTGCTGTGACCGGTTGTTACCTCCAAATGCTGTCTTACACCTAGCTCTTCTGAACCGAAAAAAACCATGTTACCTCATGCAGTATCTTTAGTAACACTAACACGAAGTCGGTCTCATCTTCAGCAACATAAAAAAAATATATAGAAAAAAAAAATCAAGTATTGTGTATATATTTACTTGCTAAATGTAAAGGGTTTCTTCCTTTTTATGTGTGGATCCTGTGAAAGCAAAATCATATTTTTTTTTATTTGCAGTCAATATATTGTTTTTTTTCTTTATTATTACTGTGTGAACGAATGTTGGAACTGTGTTACCTTCCCTGTTTATGTGAACTGTGTATGTGTGCGTGCATGTGTGTGTTTGTCGGTTGGTTTCTTTAATTCAGTATGAATGGAAACTATGTGCATTAAAATACTTAGAATTATAAACTAGATGAGAATACATTCATCTTTTTGTATATGAAAATAAAGTTGAATCCTGATTTAAAAATAAAGTTTGGTGTGATTTCTTTTTATTTCCCATCGGTTAATTAATTAGAACCTAGAAATAGAAAAAGTGCACAAAATAGTCTTAAGAAAACCTGAGTAAAACCTAGATCTATTAGTGCACATGTACACTAGATGGCAGCAAAAATGTAACCAGCATATTTTTTTTTTCTGTTACAATGCACTGTGATATTGGTATTGTTTTTCTTTTTTTTTGCTTGTTAAGTGGACGCATAGGGCTCCTATAATGGACACAATGTTTAATTTATTTAGTTTTAATGTAATGAATACATACTTTTCCAGAACGTGAACTAACAAGCAAAGCAAAAAATAAATAAGATGGATTGATCATATAAACCAGGTAACAGGGAATTGTTTGTTGATTCATATCTATTTTTCCCCTAAACTTTACATTGGCTAATAAAAAAAGATTCTTTATTTACTTACTTTACTTACTTATTTACTTAACGCTTCCTCTCAGATGGTGTAGATATTAGATATATGAATTGTAGGGGGAAAAAAAACAAAGCATACCCTACAATTCAACATACCATCCAAGTCTCTCTGTCACATTCGGAGATCCCTCGTTCATTCCAACATCAGACCTTGTTTGGCTTAGATAACTAATAAGACTTACAAATGTTGAATTTTTACAAATCTCCTTTGACGTAAAACTTTTTTCAGGTAACCGTGATCACGATTTATTTAGTAAGTATTAAATCAAAAGAACTATTCCGAGCTTTATCTTATTTTCGCAGGCACTTGAACGCATCACAGAGTTAGCCTCTGAAAAGCCCCTAAGCCAATCAGAACGCAGCTCATCCCTCACGTGACAACCAGACTCGTAAACTACGATTGACTTCAGAGTTGCCGAGAGTCTGGTAGTTGTCGGTGTACAGTTAGTTTTTCACGAACATCGTTCTGCCTTTGTGAGGATTTATTATCTCCTAAACGGATGCTCCATGATTCCCACGACTTTTAAGAAAATTGAATGCATTATTTTGTGACTTTTCTGAATGCTATGCTTCTAAACTGCCAAGCAGGTGAGTTTTAAAAAGGCTCTTTTACTGTGCCAGCAAAGCAGTTTGTAACCGGGTCTGGCTGCTTTTCCAGGGGCAAACATCATCACATTCATCAGCAAAAAAGAAAGTAGCTTAAGTAGAATAGTTTGGAATCAATTTTATTACTTATTGCTGTTCATTTAGCTTTGTAACACATTTCTGTTACATTGCGTTTGTTACTTTATGCAGAAAACGTTAGCTTACCGCAATATTTCCTCTTAACGGTTAAGTCTACTTAGTTAAACTTCCTAAGAACACTTGTTGAATCAAATAAAATATATATATATATAAAAAATACCAAAGATGAATAAAGGTAAATACTGTGTTATTAAAGTAGTATTTACAATAAAACAAATACTTTATTAACGGTTCTACTACACGTTTGTGTAGTGTTTATACAAGTTAAGTTGTACATGGAATTCAGTCATTTAAACAGCAAAAAATAGTTTATACAAATAAACACAAGGCCGGTCCAATGTTTTAAAAGGCCCGGAGCAGAATTTGGTTTGGGAGCATTTTTTGTTGCACATGATACTTTTAATGTTTTGCATAATCAGTTGCTTCTGTAAATCCAATGATTCTGCTCTATTTAAAAAAAGGTGTTTCAACTATGACTTAAAATAGCAGAATACAAACTTTCACAAATCAGAAATTTTGATTTAAAGTAATATTTTTAGTCTGGAGTAATTTGGTGGTTGCTGTTTTTAGATCAAGGAAGTTCTTGAAGTCTTATCATCTTATTTACTTATCAATTTTGGATTCTTAATGTGTTAGATTGAAATATAATTTTAATAACTCATATTTGTGCTTTTTTTTTAACAAATAAATACTTCTATATAGCAATAAAAAAGCTGGGAATGTGGTACACTAACTGTAACATTAAGGAAAAAACACATATGGCAAAAATTGGTAATTTGATATGAATGCAAATGATTATCACAATACTTTTTTGGGGCTATTTTTTGCAAAGATGATCAAATCTGTCATAAATGCATTTAAAAATCAATAACAGTCTTTTTTTGCAAAGGATTGGATGGCTTGACAGTTGCAGACTCCAGTCAGCACAAAAAAACGAAACACAAACATCCCAATAAAAACAACGCAATCGTAAATTTACAAAAACAGCGACTTACATATTGCTAAATGCGCTTCTTCAGAACCCCAGTGTCATAAAGTAGAGAAACTTTATATCACTTACAATGTAAAAGATAATATTATTATTGCTGATCTCATTCAGTTAAAGTTTCCAATTAGTTAATTAAAACAGTGGTTGAAATAATTGTAGAATTAGTCCCAGAAATACTTCAAGATTGTACAAACATTGTTAGATAGAGTTGAAAGTTATCATGATAATTCAGAATTCTTATGACGTAGAAAAAGTATGGAAATGTGTGATGATAATATGATAGACTTATAACAACCAATAGGTTCTGATTATCTATCCTTGATATGGGAGCTAATGTTACTTTATTTGTTATTCAATTTCTAATCTAAGCATCACCGATTTTGAACTGAAAGCTCCTCCTGACTAAAGCCATTGATTTGTTTTGGATTGGTACATTTCAGCACAACATGTACAATATGTTTTATACCTGAGATTTGACGACTAAAATCATAAACCAGACTGTGGTGTTTCAAATGAAACGTACCCATCCAGAGTTTGCACACTCTGCTTGTAGTTTGAGCTCATAGCTTTTCCACAAGTGCTACTATGAAGGTGAGCTCCGCTTTGCACAGCCTGCAGTCAACTTACTGGTAGAGAACGGAAACGGTAATGTCCCCACAACTTCCTGTCAGGCATTGCACATAAGTAGGGCTGTTTTTCTTGACAGTTTCTTTCAGAGGAGCCTAATCAATGGTTGACTCATTATGGCTGCCTTTAAGAGCACTCACTGTCCCGTGTGTAAGACATGGTGGTGACAGCTTCATACTGTGGGGCTGCTTTTCTTCAGCAGGGACAGGGAAGGTGGTTAGAGGTGTTGGGAAGATAGACAGGACTAAACATGGGGATATTAAAAGGATAACAGATTATATGTTGCAAAGGACTTGAGACCAGGATGGTACAATATAATCAAACATTCAGGCTAAGCAAAAGTTAAATAGTTTCGATTCATTTCGTAAAGTTGGAAAATTGCTGCTCAGAATATGTGCTCTCAGTCGGATCAAATTGGCTTCAGCAAAGAGGTAAATATTTCTATCTCTTGTTGTTTGACACTCAGCTTTAAATGTTTTCTGCTATTTTACAATTGTTAAAGCGATTCTCAATTAGTTGTTAAGATTTTTTTTAATGATCCCAGCTTATAAACCAGCTGTCAAATTCGAATGAACTATGGCTATAAGTATATCAAATAATTTTTCGATAGATTTGAATAATTTAAAATGAGAAATATCAGAATCCTTGAATTCTACTTTAAACATGTCCCAACAAAATTAAAACTGCTCTGGCGACAAATAGGGAGTTAAATTCATCTTTACTTACAGTATAAGGGCTCACTTGGGCTCCCTGGCTCTTTGGGGCCAACTAGGCAGGGGCCTAGTTCACTTATGCCTCAGGTCAGCCTGTGAATATACATGACCTAAACTCAGTTGCATCAGCTCCTTTTCTACCCATTGTTCCTTTTTTTCACCCCCAGCTCTCCAGGGACAAGGGCTGTGTGGTGAGTTCAGGGGCTAGCCAGCCGAACGTACCACCTGTAAAGGGTGGCGGCTGCCCTGGCTGCTGGGATGCTACGGAAGGGCAGCAGAAGCAGCAGCAACAGCAGCACCAGCAGCCTCGGTGGAGGTACAGCGACAAATAATGTCCAGGAGCTTCAGTCGGCTGCCACTCAACCCCAAGAATCTCTGTCACCCAAATCCACCAAGGCTTGGACCATGGGCCGCAGCACCAAGAGCCCCAACCCTCTGAGTAACATGGGGCTCCCATCCCGCCTCATGGGGGCCCCAGGTGTGGATGCTGACTATGTTTTGCAGCTGGTGAACGATGTGAGGTGGTTTGCTGATGTGCTTCTGAACCTAAAGGATGCCTTCCAACATAAAGGTGAGCTCTGATGGAGTTAGAATGTGGTTTTTCTTTAATAGTAACATTTCTGTCTTTGGTGCCATTTTGGGAAACTACTACAAGAAAAAAAAAAACATACATTTTTAGCTAATTGATTTTGTTTTGGCTGAGATTTATTGGGTCATTTATTCTGCATACTAGTCTTTTACCACTTTGAGGATCATGAAAATGTTTCAATGTAGTTAAATCCACCATCATCTGTATTGTGTGATGTAATGTTTGCTTTGGGCATACCATAGTGATAGTAATGCTCTGTAAGACTGACTGAGAGAGAGAAGACACTTCAGCATAGTCGCAAGGCGAGGCATGTTTATTTATATAGCACAATTCAGTATGGAGAAATTTCAAAGTGCTTTACATGAATTAAACAAAGAAAGGAAGTATAATTAAACCAGAAAAAAATCAATTAAAGATAAATATTAAAAGCAGATAGCAAAGCAAGTAAAAAAGTTGTACCACAAACTTAAAACTAATTATACTTTAGTGAACAGTTCAAATTTAACAGTCAAAGGTAGCTCTAAATAAATGTGTTTTTAACTTTTACCTAAAATAACTCAGGTTTTCAGCCCTTTTACAGTCTTCAGAGTTTGTTCCAGATCAGTGGAGTATAGGAACTAAATGCTGCTTCTCCATGTTTGGTTCTAGTTCTGGGTGTACAGAGTAGACTGGAACTAGAAGACCTGAGTGGTCTAGGAGATTGATGCACTGACAGCAAATCTGTTATGTATTGAGGTGCTGATACATTCAGTGATTTATAAACTAACAGAAGGATTTTAAATGCTAATCTCTGAGCCACAGGGAGCCAGTGGAAGGAGATCCAGGCTGATGTGCTCTACTTTCTTAGTTCTAGTGAGAACATGGGCAGCAGCATTTTGGATCAGCTGCATATATGTGATGGACTTTTTAGGCAAACTTATGAAGACACTGTTGCTGTAAGCAGTTCTACTATTTTTTTCCCCTACATTGACTTTATTTATTTATTCCTGGAAAAGTTTTGGTCATATTTTTTCATGATATCAAAAAGATAGGGAAATATATGGGATATTAAATATTGGTTGTTTTGGTTGTCAGCCATAACAGCAATGTTAATATGGAGTATCAATCTTAGAATGACTTTCCATTTGTTTTTTAGATCTGTTTCAGCTATAAATGCGAGCATTACTAGCTACAATTTTACGTTTTTTGGCTAGCTGCCCTAAAGGAAACTGAAATCCCAGTGTTTGCACAGAGCTGCCACTCTTAGCTAAGCTGTGCTTGTCCAAATCAGTCAGCAATGCAAAGCACACAGGCTCTGATTATATTCCTTCTGTCTTTGTACATAAAGCCACAGACATGACTCTGTTAGGTTTTCAACAGAACTGAAAAATGTTCAGTGATACTATAGTTAAAAGTTATAATTTATCATAATGTCCACCAGGATCTTCTGTCAAGACTTCCAACTTCACTATTAACACACTGAGGCACTTTCTGCACTGTGATTGACATCACTCACCCACAATACATAAACACAATACACAAAAAGACAGTAGATGGGAGACAGGTAGCACACTTTCCCTTTGTTTTCCTGCTAGTCGACGGCTTGACTTTCTGTTTGCAGACTCATACAAACATTTCACCCACACATATGAGCATTACGGCACACAGTCGTATAATCACTGCCAGTGGGTGGCTGCAGCTCTGCATAGAGTGAAGAAATGTGCTTTTTCACTCTGAGTCAATCTCTGTACTTCTTTATGTTGCTAGTAGAAAAAAAAGTGTTAATAAATGTTCCTTGGCTATAAAGCAAAAAAATATATAAAATATATCCCTTTTAATGTCTTTATTTTTTAATTAGTTTGGTAGCTTTTCATTAATGACAAATTCAAACTTGCACCACCGTTCTGCGAGTTGCATACCCTCTGACACAAACATGAAGGGTCCTACTGTATATCTGGCAGTGGGGGGGGGGGTTGTTTAGTCATTCCTCTTGCTGGAGGAGTGAGGCCTCGGCGTGAGAGCTTTGGCTTCCGTCGTGCTGAGTGATACTCTGAGCCATCACAAAAACATTTGGGGTATTTGCCTATCACTTAACAACAACCCCCTCTATTCAGCAGGTGGGTAAAATCACATGAACCCAAGCTGTCATTTACTTCAGAGCCTTTATTTAAGTCATTTTAATTGTTGACTTCTTTTACTAAAACTAATTATTGGGCAACTCTTGCATGACGTCAATGCAATGATGTCAACAAGTTCCTCATAGCATAAGCCATTTTTTTTGTTTGTTTTTCTTCTTTGTGGTATGAAAATGGGTGAATCTTATCAATCAGTAATTAAACGCCGTCATTTCATTGCTAGGAATTCTACCACCTGGAAGCAAAACATCTGAATAAAATCTGATTTTAAAACACGGATAATTCTGCAGATCAAACATTCAGTCCATGAGTTTTCTGTTCATTCCTCTCTTGAATTTCCAGAAGCCCCATGTAGTTTACTCTATGGGTGTAGTTAGCAGTCTGTCTGGCTCCTGTTTCCTGCTAATGGAGCATTACTGGCATCCCTTAAAGACAGACACCCGTCATCACCTGTGTAATTTCTTGAAATCAGGGTTGCTGAGTTCATCCTATCTTATACTATTACAAATCTGCAGATAACAAGCGTTTTTATCTTATTGAGGCTTTGCCTGATCTATCATACACGCATTTTAAACTTACACTGTGATGGCCCCATAATCGGGATATGCTAACCTGAATTTTTCCCAGGATATCTCCCACCTTCTCGTGCGTGTTCGTATGTTTTCATTCCATAGCAGTTGAAGGACATGTGGCTTTTGTCTAGGGGGTCAGGAAGGTTTCAAAGTCTGGTAACAATCGAAGGTCTGTTTTAAATCACCGTGTCCAAAACTAAGGTGTAAACAAATGAGATGAAGAACAGATTCAGTAAAAGGACTATTGGTCATTGTCATCTTTTAAGTTTAACCTTTTTTCTTAGAAATTATTTGAATTCCTTTGATTAACAATAGGCTATATGCAAAGCCATAATTTTTTTGCTTGAGGTAACGGTCTTTAAATAAACCCATAGGTTGTGGGCCTTTATAAAGATCTCTGAAATATTCAGTGGGGAGCTTTATTATAGCAAAGTTGAATTTTAATGCAGCCCTCGGTCTCACCCTGTTGGAGCTTTTGTGTTGTGATTAGCAGCACGTCTCATATGGTGTTTGCTTCAAGTATCAAACCACGTTACAGCCCCAGCCCCCTCTCTGTGGTTAACAAAATGTTGCAGAAACAAGAAAGGTGGTGAGGTTAGCAAAACACAGATTACACTTGTTTTCTCATTATTTTCATACGTTTAAAGGTTTGTCACGAAGGTACTCTGTGGATTGAGAAAACTGCAGCATTTTAAAATGTTTATATTTTTTAGATTTAAAAATATTTGCATCACTTCACTTTCTGTTTCTGAGAAACCCCCCCCCATAAGTTTTGGTTTGGAGATGCTTGTTTTGTCTCCCTGAGCTCCTGCTAGTTTTTAGCTGGAGGCTAGTGAGGAGAAGTCAGCTTTTGGCTGATGGAAAACTACAGGGAGAATCACTGTTAACTATTAGCTTATGCTAGCTGGACCCATGCCACTCCCAACCACAGCTTTGCACTTGAGGTTTTCTGATTGTGATGTTGGTTTTCTCTGTCTTATGTAACTGCCCCCGCAGGTCGCTCTGCTCACAAGTATGTGAAAGAATTTAATTCCCCCCCGAAATTGTAATTCTTAATGAGTTTTGACTGAGTAAGCTACCCCTGTGCTGCTGTTCCCCTTAAATGTGCCCAGCAAAAGTCCCCCCACCTCCCCCAATCTTTTTGGAATAAAAAAAAATATTTGGAGTATTATAGCCACAAACCTAAAAGCTTAAAAGGGCTTATATGTGACACAGCAACACTTGTGATTGTAAATGCATTGAAACAAAAACAACTCCCTTTAACTCTAATGCTCCACAATAAAACCCAGTGCAGCGAACTTCTTCCAGAATTCATAGAATTAGCAAATGAAATCTGCCGCTGTGATTTCTTTTCTGTTAAAATCGAGCTGTTCTGTGAAACATTTTAGAGGAACATTAGTTAACAGCATCATTAAGACAAAGAAACACGGCAGAAAGATTAGCATAGAAATTGTGGAAAAGTTATACTTAGGTTTAAAGTAAATGGTAATTACAGAATATTTGAATACCTCAGGTTGGACTGTTCACTTCTACATCTGAAAATGAAAAGATTATGGGACACAACATGATTAGCAGCGAGAGAATTAAAGGGAGAAGCAGCCAAGGTGCTCATTGGGATTCTAAATAAGCTGTTGACATCCACTGTTCAGGTTGAAGGTCAAGAAGAAAGCTAACATTTGGAAGAAAGGCTTGGAAAGTCCCAATCAAAGTGTCTCCCGAGCCTTATAGAGCCCTTTGTGAACATCTAGAAGAAGGTCTTTTGATAAACCAGATATAAGTTAACTTTTTGGCCAACGTGCATCTGTTGGAAAAAGAAAATAGGCATCACTGTGAGACACAGTGTTGGCAGCATCATGCTGAGAAGAGTTGATGGTGGGATGGATGGAATTAGTAACAGGGAGTTTCTGGATGAAAAGCTGTAGAGAGAGGCAGTTGAAGGTATATATCGTGTCCCTTTTATCTCGTAAATGTGGGCTATTTTGTGCCAATCCATGACATAATACTTAAGTCTGTAAGGTCTTGAAAATGTATAACTGCTATCTAATTTATTTAGGGTTTTTTTCTTCTTTAATACATGAATGCCTACTTATGTTGCACCGCATTACTTTCCTGGTGCATTCTTAGACCTTTATGGAGACCTGGTGGATACGCTAAATTGCAGAATGTTAAATACATAATAGTCAATGTTGGAAATTCTGAAAATAACGGTTGGTTGAATCATGACAGGCTTTAGGAATATATTATCTTTAAAGAAAAAGGCTTTTAAATACCTTTACCAGATATTCTGACTTGCATT